GTTGGAATTCCCAAAAAAAAAAGTATCAGGCTTCTTGGAGAAGCTTTCCCCTTTTTTTATTTATTATAAGTATAAGCCGGACAAAATTAACAAAAAAAATGATGGAAGTGATAGAGGTATGACGGAAATTAGAAGTGAGGGTTATTTTCTTCCATTCTTATAGGTTAGGGGCTAAAACCATTATATTATAAGGTGAAAGGCTAAAACCATCCAACTTATTAAGGTAAGAGGCTATTTTTAAGCTTTTGCCAAAAAATGCAGGGGATGTCCATGTAAAAGTCCCAAATAACTACTGTTTTTACTGGCACTTTTTGTCACGTGCGGGCTTCTTTTTTTTATTTTTTTTGTCATTTTGGTTAGCACTGTTTTTAAGTAAACGCACGAAAAGTCCCCTTTTTTTTTTGTGGCTTCTCACTATTTTTCGCCACCAAAACACTACCTATTTGTTGAAAAAACCATTTAGGATCAAGCACAATTAATCAAACCAAATATGACATCAATTAATCAAAAATCTACAAAAGATTGACATATTATTAAATGCCTAATTTTTTTCATATCTAGCGAAATTATAACAATAATATCCAAATGTTTAAGTCCCAAAAACAAAATACACTAAATGCTATCCCCAAAAAATGATAGAAAATGATATCTAAATAGCATACAACCATGTCTAAAAGCATTCAAAAGCTTAAGTTGCCATATTCAAACACAAAATAACTAGAAACTGACATTTTTGCTACTGACACTTAAAGTCACTGCAGCCTTGAAATTTTCATATATAAATGCTCTACATTGCTGCCACCAGTAGCATCATTACTTTAATTAAGATGCATCTGGAAAGGTTGGCACTCCTTGTTGACCCTAAAATACAAACAAGATACATTTTGGCACAAGCAGGATTAGTTTGACAAAGCACAACTTTGAAAATCCAGTAACACTACATAAGGCTAAATGACAAGGTTATGGTGCTCCACTTGAATGGCATAAGCAGGATTAGTTTCCCACATTAAACATGATAGATAATTTGTCTAATTATGAAATCAATAACCTAAAATTTGACAACATAGAACAAATCATTAACTATCATCAGTACTGCTTCACTTTATACCATCAAATTCCTATCCCAGCAACAAGCTGCGCAAAACCCCCCATATCTAAAAGCTTCCTCCATTGATAAAATGTTAGACAGCAAACAAGAACATAAATTAATGAAGTTTGAGGGACCAACCACAAATTTATGGATTATGACACTACAGGAACCAAGGAACAAATTGGGAAATACCTGGAGTAATGAAACCTTGCTCGTTCTTAAAACAGCACTCACCATGATTAAATTTAATTTAAATATAGAAATTCTAATTATAAAAAATTTGACAACATTACTTTACTAAATGAAAACTGGTACCTTTTGATTTGGTCAGTTTAGTTTTATCTGAAACACGGTACAACTTACAATCAAGGCAACAGGACAAATTATTAAAATAGACAAGAAAAAAGATATCACAAGATATCAAAATGCGAAATCATCACCAGTTATAAAGCATGTTATGATAAAAAAAGGAATAAGGCATGACTCACAGTGGCATTAACTAAAATACAAAAATAAAAGTCTTAACAGAAATTCTGCACATAAGTTGTTGAGGCATGTGCATTCTGCATGGTGGTTGAGAAAGCATGCAAATTTCAGCTTTTGAAATTTGGTTGCATGGGAAATCTCATGGCAGCCCAATTTTGTTGAAAAATTGGAAGTCTCATGGCAGCCTTTGAAATGGAAATTTGGTTGCTGCAACTTTGTCCATGCAACATTTATTGTGCATGGTTGGATTATGACTTTGGAGCCCATTGCATTCATTGTGGGTGGTTGGCATTTAGCTATAAAAGGCCATTTGGCCATTCGGCAAATCACCCCAAGAAGAGCAATCCAAAGCAAAGTGAGCTCTAGAAAATACAAGAGTTTTGTGAGTGCTTTGGGTGAGGGTGAGCAAGAGCAAAGTGGTTAAAATTACTTTGTTGAGTGTTTTTTGAGTGTGTCTCGCATTCAAAAATACTGTGAGTAAAATTTGAGTGTAATTGGGATTCAAAAATACTGTGAATAAGATTTGGGTGTAATTGGGGATTGGGTATTTTTTCTGAAAGTATCACAAATTGTATCTCCCTATTTTAATAGTGAATTTTTCTTTGTGAGTGCCTGTGGACGTAGGCTCAATTAAATTGGAGTTGAACCACGTAAATTCTATCTTTTTTGTGGTGGTGCATTTTTTTATTCCATTAATTTCTTAATCTTGTAGTGGGTTAACCAAAATCTCAAGCAATTTGTTCCAACATAGGTGATCTACAATTTAGCCAAAGCTGCAACTTCAATAAAAAAGAAAATTAAAACAATGGGTTCAGTGAAAATATAATCCTCTAAAAGTAAAATGAAGTTCATCAATTTAAGCTGCAGGTATGACAACTAGATAGGATGATCCTTGAAAATAAAAACATAGGGCCAGCAAACCATCAGAAAACAGCACCTGGGTGCAAAAGGACATGGTCAATCCAACCACAAGAAGAAACCAACAATTAGCAGGTCTTTCATCTACTCATGTCATACATGACTTCAAGAATAACATTCTTAGCAGAATTTTCAAACAAAGAAGAAGACTGACCAAAATTCAACACAACGCTAGCAAAATTTTTAAAATTAAATTAAAAGAACAAGTTGAATTGCGCGTACCTTTCCAATGTTGACAGCTGTGGAAGGATGAAATCAATTCCAATGAAGAGTGCTGTTTACCAGCGAGAAGAACCTTCTTCAATAATCTGGAGAGTAAATTTTAGGATACAACAAAAAAGAACATGTTTCATTCTTGTTTAGTGAAACATAGATCACATTTACAAGCAATGAACAGGATTAACTACAACGTAGAACTCAAACTATAAAATTCCAGCAAATCAATCTTCATTTCTCTACACATAGCTTATTGAGAAAAATAAGTTCCAAGAAATCAAAACCTAAAAACCACTGCTTTCTGGGGGAAAAACATAAAAGAAAGAATCAAAAGAAAGGAGATAAAAATAGAAATTCACAGAACACAAAATAGACATTCGTTTTTCCTTTATAATAAAAATTGAAATTCTAACCATTAAAATCTCACCAATCACACTAGCACAATAAAAAATAATCTTTCATTTTCTCAGTAGCCAAAAGACTAGTTACTAAAAGAATAAAAAAGAAGCAAAATAATGCAAGCTAAGCAAAATTACTTATTACCACTCAATCTCCCAAACACTTCAATTCGAATTCAACAGAAAAAATAGAAAAAAAAAACTAAAGGTAATTGAAAATAAATTTGAGTTATTGCAAAATTGATAAGAGACCTAAGTAATGCAATTCTAAGTTCTAAGAAGGATTACCGAAAGAGAGAGGGAGATCGAAGTTGCAGAGGTTGCTGGACAATGTCTACGCCGTCACCGGAGTCCAGTAAAATTACCAGAGAGCAACACCGAGCCTGGGCTGAATGCCCCCAATCAAAAAAACTGCATTTTATTGAACATGCAATCAGAAATGAGAATGAAATCGAGGAGAACCTTCAATTGGAACTTCAGAGAAATTGGAATTAAAATCGGAAATAGCTTGTGGAGGAGCTCTTGGAATCGAAATGGGAATGAAATCGGGGCTGGCTTTTTGGGAAGCCCGTTCCACCGCGCTCACGGCCCGGCTGGCCTGCCGGCGACTGGTCAAAGACTTGATCGGATGCGGGATCCCTGGCTTCAGCGGCTAGTAGCAGAGAGTTTAATGGACTTCAAAGGAAGTTCAGAAATGGAAATCGAAATGGGGTGCAGAAACTCTCGGAGAAAAGGAGAACAACAATTTTTTTTTTTTTTTTTTTTCTTTTGTTAAATGTTAATTTTCATCTTTTTTAACTTTAAGGCTTTACATCATTTTGATTTCTTAATTATATATATATATATTTTTTTTTAATTTTTCGTTAATTTATCGGTTAAATTTAATTAAATATACATATTTTTAATCTCTTAATTTTAATTCTCAATTTAAAATTAAAAAATTAAAAATGTATAAATATTAAAAACAGAGAGACTAAAAATATACAAATTCAAATAAATTTAATGAACTAATTAACATAAGGACTAAAAAAATATATTTTTTATAGTTAAGAGATCAAATAAGTGCATAAAAAAATTAAAAGACAAAAATTATACAAATCTAAAAATTAAAAAAACAAAATTAACATTCAACCTTTTTATTTTTTGAATTTTAGTTTAGTTTTAGATTTGGCGCTATATCCAACCCGCTTTTTTTTAATTAATTCCTTGCATTTGTCAAATAAAAGGCAGGGAGTTTCTCGTGTTTTGTGAAATGCTATTATAATAAAGTAAGTAAAAAAAAAAAAAAAGTTTCCTGGCGTTTGATGCAAACGCAAAAATAAAATTACAGGCAATAAGTCTTTTTTTTTTCTTTCTTTTTGTAGTGTGGTAGCTTTGATTAAATAAAACAAGGCAAGCATTGCAACCTTTGTCAGTGTTTTTATGCCCAAAAGAAAAACGATGTATAAGAAAACAAAGTTCAAACATGTGATGCTAATAGAATAGGCTGCATGCCCCAGTTGTAAATATACATGAATGTATATTGGCCCTGTCAAATTGCAGTAGAAGATACAAATTGGACATCAACAAAGATGACTCATGTGCACAAATGTAAAGAACACAATGCGGAATAAGCTTAGATATAAAACAGTACAGGTCACTCAATAACCAAAAAAAAAAGTAACTATCCTCTCTTTATTGTTGCTGTGCCATGGTCACCTCGGACCAGATAACTCAATTGCATGTAGATTTTCTGTTGAGTCAATGATCCAGTTAGTATTAGGGTGAGAGGCGAGTTTGACCTCTTGCTGAAGAATTTCCACCTTTTGCCACTCATCCCACCTAGGGCTGGGCATTTTTCAACCGAACCGATTGTTTACTTGAAAACCGAACCAAAAAAATGAATTTGGTTCG